CCATCAGTTCAATTTCTAGCACTCTACCCCCACAGAAATATTTGCATAAATGCTCAAAGATGTAAGTATTACAAGGATGTCCACGGATATACTATTTGTAGGGTAAACAAATGAAAAACATCCAAACAAACATTAATAATCAAGAGCTCACTTATGTGTACTGACATGAAAAGATAGCCATGGTATTTTTTATTAAGTAAAAAAATCAAGGGGCAGAAAAATCTGTATACTTTAACCCCATTTTTGTTAAAACAAAACAAACCAACAAACTTGTGTATGCATAAAAAACGTTTGGAAGGTTATGTGCAGCAAATTAAAACTAAACTAATAACTGGTTACATCTAGAGAATGAGATTGGCAGAAGGAAAAAGATGGTGAGAGCTTTGCTTTTTATTTTATATGTTTTTCTGATTTTTTAAAATAACAAGCATGTATTAGTTCTATAATTAAAAAGTCCAAATAAACCAATACAGATTGCATTTATATACTAATTGCAGAATATTTGAAAATATAGGAAATGGAAAAATAAAATTAAAGTTCTCACTAACCCTACCACCTTAATTTACTCATGTATAAGGAGCAGAAAGAAGCATGAATAATTCAGGAAAGTAACACTGGCAAATATGGTTCCAACAAATGCAAATACCATGGGGGTACTGATTTTTGATGCCTGTTTCAAGGCTGCACTACTCTAAGACAAGGACTTTTGTCTCTCATGATTGCTCCTAATAAACATATCAGAAAGGCAGTAACATGATAAATGAACAAAAGAAAATAAACACAGCATGTCTGAGAATGTTACTACTGGTCCTCTTTTTTTCACAATCTTCAGTTTTAAAGGTATAAATATACTTGCTAATGTTTAAATTGAGTCTATACAAAATAGTTATTTATAATGGCTAAATTCTGTACAGAGAGCAATCTCCAGATTTTTATATATATATATATATATACACATATATATATATACATTTTCTATGTTATTATACTTTTTCTGTTTTTCACTTTCCCCTTTCTCATGCCTTGTTCCCTCCCAATCATCCTCTGCTTACCTGAACTGACTCAGAAAATCCTGGGATAAAGGCTGTCAGCTTCTGGAGTATCTCGCAAGCTTTCTGTAGTTTGTTGTGAGCTTGTGAACCATGAACTGCTTTGCTAAAGTTNTCCCCAATAAAATCTTAAAAAAAAAATAATCTTTCCCAATCTATTTTTTTATTTTATTTTATTGGGGAACATACATCGTCATTGGTTACACATTGCTTTCATGCTACAATGGCATAGTTGACTCTTTTAGGGAGGGCGCAGCTCACAGTGGCCCATGTGGGGATCAAACTGGCAACCTTTGTGTTATCAGCACCACGCTCTAACCAACTGAGCTAACCGGTCACTCCACACAATACATCTTTTAAAAAAATGGTCACATGTATCTACACATGTGATAAAATTACATAGAACTACACACACACACACACACACACACACACGTGCTTGTAGAACTGGTGAAAGTCAATGCATTCTATCAATGTCATTTCCCAGTTGTGATACTGTACTATAGTTATACAAGATGTTATCATTATGGGAAACCGGGTGAAAGTCATATGAGCTCTGTTTTATTTCTTACAATTGCATGTGAATCTACAATTATCTCAAAATAAAAAGTTAATGAAGAACAAAGAAAAAAATGCACTGCAAAGTAAACTGCTGCCATCTGTATGGGGTCTTACCTTTTTGCCAGACCTGATCTTTTGGAAGAGTGATGTTCAGGTGGAAGTAAGTGTGGTTAGGCTGATGCTGGAAGCCCAGGTAGAGTGTCACTGAAAGGGGGCTTTCAGGCTCTATGCACAGTATCAGGGATTTCTCCAGGGAGGTGATGTTCACCGTGACAGTAAAATGGTTTGTGCTCACGTTGAGGCTGGTGGGATGGGTTTCCATGCTAGCATTTCTCCAGAGCACAATCTAGAATAAGAGAAGTTAATCACTCTTCAAGTTTAAGATGGCCCACCCATTAGTGTCTTTCGGTCTCCTTTACAGTGATAATGGAATGAAACTTTGCAAGTCATCCTCTTTGAATGTTATTAGATAACATGGTGCCAGGAGTTAAAGAAGAGTATATAGTCTAAGACCTACAACACCTTCTCCTAACGGTAAGGCAGGACTCTTTGTAGAAGTTCCTAAGTAAAAATGTTAATAATAAAACCATGACACTGGCATAAATCTAAAATTATATCCTTCAGGGTATTGCATCTTTCTATCCTATTCTCCAGAAATTCCAATTCCCTTCTATTTTATTCCCTAGTAATCAAGTCATACCTCAATATCTTCCATTAAATTACGGACTGGGAGCAATCTGTGATTAGAGCTTAGTAATACTCTTCCGATGCTTCCGACAATGTTTGTGTCATCAAAATCCTTGAAGGGATTGAAAGCTAGTCCTGTTACCTAGAGACAAGAAAACTCCAGTTTCATAATTTACTGAAATATTTAGAAATAATACCCTGATAGGTAATAAGTATCAAATAGCATAAGTTAAAGGAAATGTTGACATTACCACTTGCTAATATCACAAATGAAATATTTCTCATTATAACATCACATAAGAAAGAATTAGTTAAAGATGAGTCTTGTGACACTCAGAATTATTATTTTTTACGTTTTTATACCTGGAGGATTCATTTTACTAGGAAGTTAGTATTTTGCTCTCCAGGATAAGGCAACAATCTTACTTCCATTTGTTAGGTAATTGATGAAAGAAATACAATATACTGATATTAATAACACTAGGGTGGTGTATTGAGTCAATAATTATTCAGATATTCCCAGCTTTGTAGAAATAGTGAAGAGCTGAGATCAATTAAAGTCATAACACAGAAATTTAGTTAAATCCAGAGTCTGTTTAATGCTTCCAACCTCTATACTGGATCATTTTTAAGAGGCCTCTATTCATGCCAATGTAAAATAGGAATTAATGGCACACAACTTTCTCTCATTGCGTCTGATCAGCTTACATTTTATGGTGCGTTCTTTTCACCCAAATGTCTACAGCCATCAAGTCCCATTTTCATTCTGATCAGAGTCAATTTCACACTCACTTGAACATTAACTCCTGGGTGTTTATTCAAAAGCTCCTCCAAAGCCAAAGCTGATGGGAAGCCTAACCTCACAGGTGCTGGATAACCCAGAGAGTACGAGCTCAGAGGCAAAGTTGACATGTTTTGGCTACTGAAAAAGAAGTTAAACCAAAATCAATTTCTGTATGTTCTCTAAAGGTAAAAAACTAAAATGAAACTCTCCTCCCTCCTTTCTCCTCTGTTACCTGCTCAGCATCAGGGTAGCAACGGAAGAGGTCAAAGTCACTGAAGACTCAGAAAACCGATTCTGCTGTCGAAGTGCTTCCTGGCTCTCTCCAAGGGCCAGAAAGGACATTTTCAGCATATTTTCTACCTACATTTCGAGGGAAATAACATGTGACTTGTGTGACCTCAGTGTATTGTGTTAGTCAAATAATGATTGGAGGGGGTTAGAAGGAGAAAAGGGATCTTGACAATATAATGAAAGGTGACATTAGTTGGAGAAAACCCATAGAAAGTACTCACAGTCTGGATAAAAACTCATCATCCTTTGTATTAACTAAGAGTGCCACCCAAGGAAATACATATTTCTTTGCCCTATGATATAAGGTGCCCTAGATCCGCTTATTAAAAAAGCTTTATTGCAATGAAATTACGTACAATTCACCTATTTAAAGCATACAATTCAATATTTTTTAGTATATTCACAGGATTGTGCAACCATCATCATGATCTAATTTTAGAATATTTTCATCTCCCCTGAAATGAACCCAGTAGCAGTCACTGTCCATTCTCCTGTCCCCATCTCCCCTAGCCCTAGGCAACCATTAATTTATGTTTTATTTCTATAGATTTGCCTCTCCTGAACATTTCATATAATGGAATCATACGGTCTTTTCTGACTGGCTTCTTTCACTTAGCGTAATATTTTTAAGGTTCATCCATCTCGTAGCATGTATCAGTACTCCATTCTTTTTTGTTGTCGAATAATATTCCATCATATGGACATACTGCATTTTACTTATCCAATCATCAGATTATGGACATTGCGTTGTTTCCACTTTTTGGCTATTTGAATATGCTGTTATGAACAGAAGCATACAAGGTTTAGTGTGGACATATGTGGGTATATTCCAAAGAGTGGAATTGCTAGGTCACATAGTAATTCTATTTTAACATTTTGAGGCACTGTCAAACTGCTTTACAAAGTGGCTGTATCATCGTGTTACAAATACACGATGTATGAGGGTTCCAATTTCTCTGCCTCCTTGCCACCACTTATTATTGTCTGTCTCTCTGGATGTGAAATGGTATCTCACTGTGGTTTGATTTGCATTTCCCTAATGACTAATAATGTTGAACTTCTTTTCATGTGCACAGCCCATATAATTTACTGAGTGTTTACTAGGTGCTAGGCACTTTACTAAGTTCTTTCCGCTGGATTACAGCACTAGGTAGCTGTGGCTCATTGGTGGGGTAGAGAGGAGGCCCCATCAGGCTTGACAGAAGTCTCTTCAGTGGTACAGACTTGGCTGGATTCTCCGGCAAGTCCAGGGAGAGGCTATGTGACACCTGGATCTGTCAAAGTTAAAGTTTCTATAGAGAGTTGGCCAGCGGCATATATTGCACCTACCTGCTCAATGTCATGCTTGGAGCTGAGCTGGCTTGCTTCACCAGCTTTCACTACATTGTTGAGGGAGTGAAAGAGGCAGACAGCCACAGGAAGTTTAAAGCCCAGAATGTTGTTCTGAAATGGGCTCTTCTGTAACTGCTCATTCAGGTAAATAAGAGAGATGACATCAACCTGGGAATTTTATTAATAAAAAGCAAATATACATCCCTGAACTGTTCATGATTGTTTTAAATTTATTTGTGTTCTTTTTATCAGGAGTTCAATGTTCTTTACACATTTCAAATACATTTTTATAAGAAGCAATATTGCAACTTGGTAGAGAAAGAAAATATACTATTACATGTTACCTAAGGGGAGGATTGTAGTTCAAGTTATTCTAAGGAACCGACATAACCCTTTTTGAGTGTTAAGTAGATCAAATGTCAAATTAACAAAATGAAGCTTAAAAAAGGAACACCAAAGAAAAGAACAGTGATGACTGAAATAGTGGAGTAGGCTATCCCTTTGTACCTAGGGCCTCTAAAGCATTCAAGACAGACTTAAAATAGAAATCAAGGAGAAGTTCTAAACGAAACACAAAACACTAATTCTACTTTCTGTAGGTTGTTCTCATGTAAAACAAGTCAAATAAACCAATTGACAGATATTTACTGAATATTCACTGTAGGTACTACTATTTTTGTTTTGAAATGTCACTTATTTTCACAGTTACATTTATTAAAAACTTCAGCAAACTGGAAGATATGAAAAATAAAATATAAAAATATAAAAATAAAAAATAAACGAAGTTAAAAATAAGACATGGGCACGAAATATTTGCAGCATATATAACAAAAGGTGAATATCAATAATAAATAAAGCTCTCTTACAAACAAATAAAGAGACAAGCAACCCAATGGAGGGAAAATGGATAAACAATATGAAGAAGCAATTCCAGAGGAGAAATAAAAATGGACAATAAATATACAAGTAAAAAATGATACTCAACCTCCTTAATAATCAATAAAATGCTTTTCTTTTTTTTTCTTGATTTTCAAACTGGGAAAAATGAAAGTGTGGGGAAAAGCTTGGTGGGAATGTAAAACAGTTCCTTTTAGGAAGAGAAGGTAATTTTGTCATCCATTAAAAATTTAAAAGCGGGGCCGGCCGAGTGGCGCGATGGTTAAGAACTCGCTTGGGATGCCAGAGGGCCCCGGTTCGGATCCCACATATGAGGGCC